CCCCCCCCCAGCAGCTTGAGACCTCATCGGGGCAAAGTCGAAATAAAAAGCAGAAAATAAACGAAATGTTTGACTACAAAGACAGATGCACAGTGTAACTGATTAGGCATGCACGTAATTGGACAATGATTAGCGGATATTGTGCTCTCAATCACATCTGAATGTGTGGGTAACTGTAGCCAAGCCTTAATTAGACTATACAGCAGATGTCCAGCATTTCTTCATGATAATATTTTGAGTGCCTCTGAAAGGCTCTGAATTCCATATTTTACACCAAATCTCTCAGGTAAAGGTAAGAATATCAGCGAATGCTGCATCAAACATGCAATCTGACAAACCATGACCTTGTAAAGGTTAGGGGGACCAGCAGATCCTTGTTCTCTGAGCTGAGGTAGGCCGCCTCCTCTTATACACCATCTTCAGCAGCCTGACCCAAAGCAATGTGAGGACTGGGCCATTAACGGGACACACAGAACGTACCACCTCATCGCACTGCAGTCTGCATCCAAAGGTGGGGATTATCACACATCTTCAAAAGCATTTTACATTGTACCAGAGGGGTGGCAGCTCACACACTGACCATTTTTCTAAAGATTAGTATGGCAGAAAATATAGGTATTCCTTTCATTTTATTAGTCTGTCTCCATTAATAAGTAAATTAAACAAATGATACCTTAGTACTTAAACGTGACCACAGCAATAGATGATGTGGCATATTTGGTGACTGAAACCCTTTTATCTTCAAAAAGTCATATTCCACAGTTGTGGGTATTTTGCAATATCCCTCATTCGTAATGCCAGGTTAAAACCATAACTAATCACTGACCACCAAGCTTATAGAATTATATATTGCAGCTGCAAACAGACAGCGAGCCCTGGATGCTGTTGTCCAGCAAAGCAAATAACTTGTGTGTGGCGTACAGAACATCCACAGCGGGGACAATGTTTGTGTGATTTCATCTGGGAGCTTGTAAAAAAAAAGGACATTTCTCATCCACCTGTCAGAAGCCTTGACATGGACCATCGCACTGGCCAAAGAGCACAGCTAGGCTCTACTTTCTGGAGATCACTCAAGAAAGATAACAACAGCAAAAATCTGCCTGTGCCCTCCTAATGCTGCAGCACTGAAAGCATATTGACATGCTGCGTCTCAGTGTGGTACACCAGCTGCAGCACCGCAGATGGGAAAGCCCTGCAGAGGATCATCAGTGCAACACAAGAGATCACCAGGACCTAACTGCCAATCCTAGAGGACACCTACAGCACCCAATGCCTCCAGAGAGTGACGACCATCGCCAGTGACCCGAAACACCCGTGTCACCACCTGTTCACCCTCCTGGGCTCTGGAAAATGCTACAGGACTATTTAGTCCCACACTTTCAGTCTGAGGAATAGCCTGTACCCCAAAGCCATCAATCATCCAAGCAAGGAACAATAAACTCCAATAACCCTGGGTTGGTCTCCTCCTGAGAGACGTGTGAGGAGCTATACGGTTTAATGGCCACAGAGAACAAGGGCTTCTGTATGATTTTTGAATGATTGAAATGACTATAAGGAAGCACATTATTTATAATATGTTATGCTGTATAGCCTAGTAAATATGCAATGAATTTATTTGTATTATTCAGGGTTGCCATCTTTGGTCAGCAGGCTGGCGTGAGATTTCCAATTCATGACAAGTCTGCACATGCTTTTGCATGTATGTAACAGTGTCATTACCCTGTAAATAGTATGTATAGGGTTTGATGTAGCTAATTTTAGGTTTATAATGGAATAATATAGATTTGCCGAAAGACTTCTTGCGTGAGTTGGCAACCATATATATTTTGCTTGCTAATCCAATCAGATCTTATAATTAGCAAATTGTTACAATTTTTAAAGTGGTTGATGTGCCTATAATTAGAGGAAGGAGTAACACAAGAATAATAATTTATCAAAATGAACTCATGTTATTTAATAGAATCATGTGATAATTTGCCATGATGACGTTATAATTACATTACTTCTGTTTTGGCTAATTCTTTTTTGCGCTCTGGTGGAAGCACTCACAGCCAAATGTTGCATGTACAATAATGCATGCCCCGTGCATGTGTGTACCATGTAACGTGTAATTCGTAAGCAGCTCCGTCGCGTGGGACAGGCAGCCCCTCGCGCGGCTGCTCTGTGGGCATGTCAGCCATGTTTTCCAGTGACGCGGGTAATTAATTGGTTTGAAGAAAGGGTGTTTTAAATCCGGTTAAGCTCGACCGAGGATGGCTACTTTGACTGGGTTCCCGGTCAGTGATTTCGACCTATGTTGATGATACCTAGTCTTGCGATTGTCAGTCGCGTTTCGGCGGGATTAAATGTTTCCTTCAAGTCTTACGCCGAAAACGATGCAGCGTTCCGAGCCCGATCGCTAGACGCCGCCAAACCTCTCCCCGTGTACCGGAATAGAGAGCTCCCGGAAAGCAACCACTGCCTCTCCATCAGCCTGGCCTTTCCGCAGATGCTCACGGATGGAAAGAGAACAGGAATTGGTGAGGCCTATTTTTATTATGGTGTTTGTTGTCACTTTAGGCTTAGATCAGCGTGTTCGCATGTATTTACATAGATTTCACGCGCAGTACTAAGGGCGCCCAATCGTATACCGTACGTGATTGGCGTAGCGGATTTTACGCGAAAGTCGTATCTTACGTGGAACAGGTGTGATCTTTTGAGATGTGACGTTGCGCGGGCCATACTGTACTTCACTCTTTATTCTGATACCTGGTAGGTTACGGAACTTACGGCTAGTTTTTACTTGTTTTCTTATTTTCTGTTCATTAATCTTAATTCCGTTTTGATTTAGCTGGTTCTGTTTAAACGCTTATGTAAAACCTACATAAATGAACACGCCTTTTACTATTCACGTTGATTTGTCAGATTTGTCCCGTTGTTAACTACACGGCTTTCATACAAAGTAAAGGATGCTGTAGTGAGCACATGATTGTGTAGTTTGCGCAGTGTTTTTATATATTTTTTTAATTTTGCGACATACACAGCCTCTCATCCGTGCAGCCCGTCTGTCATGCACCGCGGATGGTCGGGAGGTAGTGAGGAGATGTCAGCCCTGGACTGAGGTTCAAAAATTACTTCGCTCCTGGAGTTAGATGCAGTCAGGGTAGGCACGCGTCCAGGATTATCCGGAACCATGGGATTTTCTGCATGGGGGGGGGGGCAGACAAAACAAAAAAAAACTTGTTGAATGGTATTCAGTATAGGTGGTTGTATCCAGTAAAGTGGGAATGATACAGCCTTGATCTAAGGAAGGGTTTTAGGGCAGGATAATTGCAGCTGCTCTTCAGATTAGTCCACGACATGATGCAGCCTGAAGTAAACATCTAAACGCCTCTCTGTTCCACTCTGTGGGTCTGATTCTCGTACTTCTCAGGAAAACCATCCGCAGAGAGCTCTATTGGCCCAGCAGGTCTTCAGGCAGATGAAGGAAAGGTCATCCCGCTGCCTGAGGTTGAGGGAACCATCAGCTACCATGACTGCCTGTACAAGGGAGAGTTTCAGATCCCCAAGCAGCTTATCCATAACCATAGTGAGTGTCTGCTATCTCTTTACTGTTTTGATTTAACAGACTCTTACCCACAAGCAATATTCAGCCTGCAAATGTACACCTTACCAATCTAGACACCTGGTTTATTTACCTTGTTCAAGAGTACAACTGCAGTGCCCTTTTTGAGCCTTCAGCTGGTAAATGTGTTCCAACAAGACAATGTCCCTAACATCTATGCGAACTGCTTTCCTTCCAGATGGGTGTTTATGAAAATGAATTTAGATTTAATTTAACTGTTCATCATGTGGCTGTAATATAGGGTGTGATCTGTCACTTGGTACTAACGTTGCTTTTTTATACGGTGTGGCTTTCCACAGGGTGTCCTTTCAGCTTTCGGACTGGAGAGCGAGCAGCCGGACTACGACATGGACTCTGAGGATGGGGTGGTCCTCAACCCAGTGAAATGGAAGATGGCGATGAAGAAAAGGAGGAAGTAGGCCACACGAGAGCTGCTGCACCTGACCCTGGAGGTGGTGGAGAAGAGGTATGGCCACCAGGGAGCGAACATGGGGCGCAATGAATCATGGGATTGGTCTCGTTTGGCAAGGATGCAACCGATGTACCCTTGATATTTGGGGCGAAGCAAGACAAACATCAAAGGATTTTTACTGTCCTTTGCACATGTGTTCGTAGTACTGGAAATGCGGAAGATGACGTAAAATGGGTGGACGAGAACACAAGTACAGTCAAGAATGCATATTGAGATTCAGCCAGTGATTCCGCTGACTGAAAAAAATCCATTTTCTTCCTTGTCATTTTAAGCATTCACTTTTGCTTGATTTCAGAACTCACTCTGGTTTTCTATTTACAGTACAGAGCAACACAATTGCCAAAACATCCCATATCTGAAATAGTTTATATTTTCATCAGTTGAAGTAGCTGAAATTCCAGGGACATGGTATTTTGATATGCTTTGGTTTACTATGAACTGATATATTAAGTTTAGCATTTTTACAGCTATATATATATATATATATATATATATATATATATATATATATATATATATATATATATATATATATATAATTTATTTACATTTAACAAGATAGTATAACTGACATTTTATTAGGTTAATGCATATTTATATCAATAGTGTTATGTTTTATGGCTTATAACCATATATTTAGATGTTTTATTGATGCTTTTATAAGATTAATATATATCGTATTTAGCCCAATTGTAACATGTTTTTATTATGATTATTATCTAAAGAGTATTTTTTTAGATCCTACTCTTTCATCTCAGGGGGGAGCCTGCAGTGGTCTGGGAGTGAGCACAAGCACGAGATGTGGAGCCTCAGAGCAGTTTCAGGTGAGTGGCACGGCACTGATGCTGTCGCCGTCCTGCGCTCCTCTGTGGAGACGGACAGCTCTGCTCATCACAGAGGTGCCATGAGCCCGGGATTTATGGTGCAGGCCTGACAGGAGATTGGATCCTGAAGTAAAATGGATGTTTCTGGAAGGAAGCGGGTTTGTGGGGATTTATGCACTACCAGTCATGTTCATACCTACAAATTAATATCTTTCATTTGTATTTAAAATCTCTTTGCCTTCCCCACCACTTAATATTTTCAGTACTTAGAAATGATTGAAATAAGACCTTAATTTTCATTAATCAATTTCAGCATTATTTAATGCTGAATTCTTTTTTTACATAAATTAATTGGGAGGAATTGGCTGCACCTGTAGCAGAACAGCAATAAAAAAATGAACAAATCTTGTTTAGCACCATTGAAAAATTGAATTTAACGGCTTTTATTTAAATGGTTCATTTAATTCAGGCAGCCACTCAGTTGAAATGGTAAAATGCTAGTTAACCTGCAGCCTGTGAGGTCTGGGGTTTCTCAGCCATAGCGGATACCTATTGCTATAGAAGATTATTTAAAATGTCATTAGATACATTTTTCAAATCATTTGATCACAAAATAGCAGTTTTTCGCACCTACTGACACAATGTAAGAATTGAACTTTATTTCAACTTAGAACAGAACTGAAGTTCTCACTTAACGCTGGAGAAACGTGGGCAGCTGAGCCTGCAGCGCCATCTGGTGTCGGGCTCCAGTACGTCTTCGATGTGGGGGAGCAACAGCGCCTGAGCGTTACGGCTAACTTCCCCTCTGACTTTCTGGGGGGAACAAGCAGCATTACAGAGGAGCAGTTCCAGACATCATTGGCAGGTGGCCCGGATGAGCCAGCAGAGTCGGCCTACCCAGAATTCCACGTGGGCAGAGCTGCGTGATGCCCAGGTACCTGGCATCCCACGAAGCTCCCACATGCAGCTGCAGTTCAGCCCATTTGTTCAGTACTGAGTGTGCTCTGCCCTCTCGGGGAGATGGAAATACTCGGCTACACTCATTTAAGCCAAGCATGGGAGCACAGAAGACAGGAGAGTATTGTAAAGTCCTCACCGTCCTCATTGGAGAACATATATAGCTCTTGATGTATGAGGAGACACCAGCATCATAAGACTCCTCACATCATGGTCAGTACCTGTTTGACCTCTTCCCTACTGGCTGGTATAAGAAATCGATTAAGATACAAACCACTAGATTTAAAAATTTTCTTTCCAATGGCTATATGTGAATTGAACTCTGTACCCACTCTCATCCATTACTCTAATCTGTGTCTGTGACAATGCAGTGTTTATAATATCCTAAAGTGCAATATTTACTGTATGGTTCAGACCTTGTGCTGCTATAGATTAATATCTTACATACCCACATGTCCCTATTAAGTTGCTATATTTTATTTATTTTTAGATCTTTTTGTGTTTATTGCAAGTTGCTGCTGTGATTGAATTTGCTCTGATGAGGAATAGCACTTTTTACATACAGTATCATTGTATGATGTGCAAGGACAATAAAGGCTGTTCTATGTCACTGCTGGCCCCCAGTGTCACCCTTCGCCTGGCTGCCTGTTACCCGACTCCCTCACCATCTCCCTTAAAGCTGCCCAAAGTCGCAGTGACACACTGTCACTGGTATGGCAAGGTCAGCACTCTGTACACCTGGTGATGCCCAGCAGGGGGAGCCATTAAGTCAGCTGGGATCTGGGAATATACCTTCTTTGTGTAGTCACTATTTTTTCTGCTACTTGAATTCTAGTGTTTGTTGTCATGGTTTTGCAGTTAAATGAAATGGCAATTAGAAAAAATGTGCAAATTTAGGGATTGAGTGTGAAAGTCACTTGTTTAATGTTCACATTTTGTGATTTGTGTCTACAAAAAAGTGGAGCATACAAAGTTCTTATACATTTTTAAAAGAGAAAAACTTGCCTGATTTTTCACAAGTAGAATAGATTGTTGCTAATGTAATCAGCTGATGCACTGTTTCCTGTATAAACACTAGTTGTTGGATCTATGACACCAGTTTATTCATGAATTGATATTTTATTGATCCCCGTGGGGAAATTGTCTTTACGCCTCCCTCATCTTGCTCTTTGTAGAGTAAGCTGTCCAAGATTACCTTCTGATTATAGGCACACAGGCTTAGCCCACTGAGCCACACACTATTCACATTTTTAAAGTCAAAACATCGTGTTATATTCTTTTCTTTTTGAAATAATTTATCTGCCTTTTTAAATATACTGAAGGTAGTGTATAGATCTGTAAATGTGAAGCGGGTGTATTTCAGTGTACATTTCAGCTACCTGTAGAGTGGTGATGTTGGCTTTTGTTGGGAATACGCAAAAAATCAGAGAGGGGCCGTCTTAAACATAAAGTAGATGTAGGCTGCCCATGGGGAAAAAAACATCTGTTGCCGTTTGCAGTATGAGTTGCTTGTTCTTGTCAATTTTTAAAATGCAGGGAAATAAAAATCAGGAAATTGCAACAATGTTGTTTGCTTCCTTTCCCCTCACTGGAAGTTTACTTAGGAAGGTTATTCGTGTAAAAAAAAAAAAAGTATAATTTTTCAAGTTTTTCAGATGCACGCAGAGTTTTAAAACTGAGGGTTTTTTTTTTTTTACCCCATGTTCATGTGTTGTATCTGATGATAATTTTAGCGTGATACGATATTTTGTTTCGGGGAAAACTACATTATGCAAGTGACAACCGGTAGATGGGGCTGTTATGCTTTGAAAACATTTAACTTGTTAGTTACTTAGTGTTACTATCGCATAGGGGTAAAGCACTGGGTTAAAATGTTTGTGCAGGGAAGGACTCGTTAAGTAAATCAAGTATTGTGTTGATGTCTCTTCTTTATGTTATGCATCCGTTGTGGCCTGTGCATTTATGTATTGGGCGACGTATTCCCCGATACCCTGACATCTGCGCCTTTGTATCCGGTCCGTCCCCGCTTGGCACAACAATATTATTATAATTAAACGTATTAATGGTATATTATTAATATAAAAATCATTAATAAATCTTTATTTTAAAATGTATTTTATTATATAATAATTACTGTTACTGTCTATCATTGTCTAAATGTATTTTTACTGCCTAAATATATGTATTCAGCTAGTGTAAACATGCAGGATGCTATCACAGCGAATGCCAGGCTGAGACTGAAGTGTTACCCTTTGTTTCCGCTGAGACGTACCGCGACTCATTTCCCCGCGTGTACAAGTTCTTAGGTCAGCGTTCACGGTTTGACTTCTGAGATTCAGATCGAGCTCTGGGTAATTTTTTTTTCCGAACTGGTTGGTTCGACTAAAGAAATTCGAATTCTAATGAGTTCAACAACTGAGGTACTACTAATTCAATTATACTGAACTGTTTAAAGTTTACTGAATTTTACTGTTGCATTTGCAGGAGGTGCAAAATTTTTTATGCTGTTCCATTGAGTTTACTTTTGAACAGATCCACTATGTCATTTTTTGTTTAAAAAAAAAATAAAAAATCACAATTTCTATGTGGATTTGGGTGTAGTAATGTATACAGTCTTGTTGACTTACGACCACGATCGGTATGGTCTGACCGGTCGTAAGTCGGCCTTTTGTTTTATATGCAAATATTGTCATATACAGGAGGTGCACATAAATGGTGCGCATTCGCAGTAAATACGCGCAACAATTTCTTGTAGCAGCGCAAATGCGTATTTATTTCGTGATGTTATGACAAGACATCACTGTGCATTTTAGCCTTTATATCGCGAAAGTAGTACAAATTAGCCACATAAAGGTTAAAATGCATGGTAATTTGGTCATAACAGCCACATAAGTAGGGAAGGATAGGATAAGATAGGATAAGATATAAGCATTACAATAAAACATGTACTTACTATTCAAACAGTGTCTTGGCAGTGTTATAATAAGTAACTGGAGTATTTCTGAAAAACGCTCCGCCTTCTGCCTGCTGTTATTTGGCTAATGTATTGTAATAGATTTTCCCTTGCCACTAGAGGGCGATATTGAAACAGGTTAAGCTGCCACCACCTTTAATTAAACCCCGGTCTGGTCCAGTAGGTTAGAACACTCCACTCAGAATCAGGCAAACTGAAGCAATAACAATGCTTTATTATTCAACTAGTTCATAAAACAATGTGGTCACGTTGGCTGCCTCGCAGCACACAATCCCCCCCTGCATACACCAAGGGCGTCTGACAAAACAGCACCGCACACGTGAAATAAGTTAAGTTAAGCTATGATCTCAAAGCAATAAATCATTCAAGCTCATCACAGCACGGTACCAATAAGAAAGTCTACACAGCCATCAACATTGCAATCCTGACCAGGAAGAAGACTTCCGAAATGTATACAAAGCCCTCACAGCTGCGATGGCCTACACGCTACAGCCCCCCACCCACACAAAACACATACAAACAATACAAAAGGAATTAAAATCGGACTTCCCTGTCCCCGCACAGGTCCCAAGTCTGTGTTGGTTGCGACGCGTACGCCCAATGTAAACGCCAAGCAGTTGGGGTAATTGGGGTCATCTACTCTTTCCTGGTTACCTGTAGAACAGGGGTGGCCAATTTTATCCGCAAAGGGCCGCTGTGTGTGCTAAGATTGGCCACCGCTGCTAAAGAAGCTTTTCCCTCCCACTATCTTCCTCCGGGTTAATAAGTGATCCCCGGTTTCTTCGGCGCCGGCGGTGCTAGCCAACCGCGAACGCCACAAAACGACCCACAGATTCTCTGCCCCCAGCGGCCCGCAACCTGCTTCCTTTTCTCTGGCGCGTTCCATTGAACATGAACCCTCCCCCCCCCATTAAAACCTCAGTCTCATTATCTCCAGGTGAGTGAATGCAGCAGTCTCTGTCAATTAACCACCATCCCCCCTTGATCACAGTCTTCATCACAGTATGTACAGGGATTGACATAACTGGCACGCAAGCACGCTTTCACCTTTAAAAACGACACGTGCGGCAATCGATTAATGTAACAGCGCAAATACGTACGTATTTTATGTGCATTTGCGCCGAAATGACAAGAACTTATCGTGCATTTGAACCTATATACCGCAAATGAAATACAAATTAACATATAAAGGTTCAAATGCACGATAATTATATAGACTTTATATAGGCGACTATTCTGGTAAGTAAGAGGTGAATTTCTCAATCGGCACTTTGTACTTAAAGTAATGCTAATGTCCGTTACCAGTCCGTAATTGTGTTACTAAATCGCGTTACGTCTTTTCATGGGCGTCGTTAGGTCCGATCATTCGAGCGCTATAGGCACCAAGAGGGACTAGCTGCAGACGCCTGTAGAGTGGAGCTCCACCGGAAATACGTTACCTCCACAGGAAACGCGTGATGTTTAAGGACGTAAAGTTGAGCTCCGGTTAGGGTTAAGGTTAAGGATTAAGGTTAGGGTTTATTTGCTGTGACACAGAGTTGAGGCCACGTGTTTCCTGTGGAGGTGACGTATTTCCGGTGGAGCTCCACTCTACAGAGAAGGGTCCAGCTGCAGACGCCTGTAGAGTGGAGCTCCACCGGAAATACGTCACCTCCACAGGAAATACGTGATTTTAAGGGGCGTAAAGTGGAGCTCCACAGGAAACACGTGACCAAACTGTGTTACAGCGGAATTTCAGTTGTAAAATTCTCAAAAAGTATGTTTTTGTTCATTTATACGCTAGAGAAATTATATATATATATATATACACACACACACACATATATATATATATATATATATATATATATATATATCTGGTCTGATCTAGTTT